GGGGGGTACCCGCCGGATAGCCCATCATAGCTGTGGGGCCATTTGGGGTACAATCCTGCCCAGGATTTCAGGGTGCAGGGGTGTCGGCTGCGAGCCCCAGTGTCTCCTCCTGAAGGCACGTCATTTGACTCGGCTGTTGCTTTTTTGGGTTTGTGGTCTTTTTGCTGGATTTGAAACAGCAGATCTGCCTGGTGGGCTTGGGTGACACGGTGCTTGTTTGCCAGCCCTCTTCCAGCCACGCAGGACCCACTGGAGATGCTTCCTTCCCTCTGCAGGCCCCAAGGACCTGAGCAGTTGATGCAGGTGGACACAGATGCTGCGGCTGGACCAAGAGCTTGGAACCTCGTGTGTGGGTTTCTCACACACTTGTAAGAGTCACTTTTAGCAAGACAAACAAGTTATTTGAGGCCCGGCTTTCTCCCTCCCTGGGGAGGTGGGAAAGGTCTCCAGTTATAATCCACCCCTGCCAGCATGGCAAACTCTACTGTTATTCTCCCAGTTATTTTAGATGGGTTTTATTTGGACGCCTGTACTAAAAAGAGGGCACCACGTACCAGGGTTTCCCCAATGTGGAGCAGGTGATTTTTTTCCTCCCTTGGCTCAGGTGTGAGCAGGGTGGAGTTTGCTACAGCTGCTTCCTTATATAAAGGGCAGGTTGAGGCCAAGCTGCTCCTATGGAAATGCCAGAGAAGTGGGTGTAGAGCCTTCCTTGACCCTGAGAGAGGTAAGAAAATCTTCTCGTGTAGTTTACCATGTTCTTGTGCCTTGAACAATGCAGTTTAATGTTATGAAAGGCTCTGCTCTTTGAGGTATGCGTTTAAAGCTTGTCTGGAAATCTGGTGGTGGACAAGCCCTGGGCTTCTTTGTGCTAGTGGGTCTATGTAGGAGGGCTGGGCTAGCCCCAGTGCTGAGGGGTGTGGGGCAAAGCCATGCTGGGCTCATCCACCCCCTCTGCAGTGTTCATTACAGGCCCCTTCCTGAGCTGGGGATGCAGTTGGGGTTGTCCAGGACAGCAGATCTTACCTCTCAGAGCACAACCCTGGGGTGCCCAGGCCATTCTTGGGGGAACACCCCTGAGCTTTCCGAGTGCCAACAGGATGGGGAATATGAAAACCGAAAGCTAACATTGGCCTTAAATATTGTCTGTTACAATCTGAGATGTAACAGCAGATGTGAGAAGCAGACCACATAGGAGTATTTAACTACTCCTCTAGCGATTTTGGAGATGCACAGTTAAAGTAATCACAGTTATCACCAAGTGGTATTTTCTTAAGGCGAAATGCCCTATTGGGAGGAGATGGATTTTAAATGTGTTGGTACCTGAGCCTCTGCTGTCACCTGAGGTGGCCAAGCTGGGGTTTGGGTGCTGTCGTGTTGAGTTGGTGTTGGTGGAGTTTGAGTTTGTTCCGCCTGGACAGGCTCGGCCCTGAAGGACACCAGGCAGCAGCAGCCTTTCAGGGGTAAGCGTGGAACTGGCTGGAGCCACCTTCCAGTGAAGGCATTGCTCTGTGGTGAGGCCTCCATCTGGCAGAGCGCTTGAAGCAGCTGTTTGGATGCCTTCACATCGGCAAGGGCTTTGCTGAATCAGGCAGTGACGGGAAGTTTATTTGGCAAAGAAATGAGAAGGGCTGATGGTTTATGAGATATTATAGACCTGATATTGACTGAGATGTGGTTGCATGTAATATATTTGTTCAGAGCAGACAGTGAAGGAGACTGTTCTGCTTCCTCACTGGGGCTGTACTGGTGTGACCGCTGCCTTGTTCCTGGTGTGAGTGTTGGTACCTCGAGCGCTTTGAGAACCCTGGTGATCAGACTAAGGTGGTGTGCATCTGACATGAAGCAATGAACAGGCCGAGACAGAATCATTCTTGTCATATTTATGATTTATTTGGCTATACCTGTGTTAGCATAACTTTCTAAAACCAGAGAGAAAACCGATAGGGTTTCTATCGCAGGGTCTAAGGGCTGGGGTGCCCAGCACAGTGCTGCGGTCCTGGCTGTGCGGGTGCCCTGGGGAAGGGGGTTGAGTCTCGCAGGCACTTCTCAACGGGAGGCACTGAACGCCTTTTTGCGAGCGTCACGGTCTGGAAAAGTACTGAGATGAGGCCCAACCTATGAGGAGAGGAGCAGATAGATGATTGGTTACAGCGAGCAGCCAGCCAAGGAAAATGGGTTGTAGCACAAACAGGGACGAGACTACGGTTAGCACAGGGGTTTTTGCCTGTTTGGGAGATGCTGCTTTAGCTGAAGTTAAGCACTTAACCTGTTCAAAATGAGGATTGGTTTTCTGATTGACTTCAGGAGATTCTTATTCTGCTCTAGCAACAAGATCCTGTAGCCTTACTATGGTGTCTTTGTTGTCTGATGTTTTGAAATGCTGGCATGCCTCAAGGTGGACCCCCAAATAAATACGACTTGTTTTCTATAACACTGGGCCTGTGTGCTTTGCTGAGCAGGTCAGGATGGGCCCAGAGCTGCCAGGGGTCAGGGACCCTTGCATGACCTGGCCAACTCACACACAATCCCCTTCGAGGTGGGGAGGGGGTGAACAAAAGCCTGTGACAAATAAACAAAGGAGAAGTCACCTGGGGGAGAAAGGTCCCAGGGCCCTTTGGGGTGAGTGGTGGGGTTTACACACAGCTGCCTGCAGCAAACCTACACAGTAGCTGCAGAGTTACCGAGGTGTGTGAGTCTCTCCATGTATGGAGTGGGTTTACCATGGGGGACCACAGGCTTTACCTGCCCCAAGACAATTCCTTGTGCCACACGTCTGCCTTGTGCGGATGTGCCGAGCTGCCTCCCGCTTCCCCCACCCTGCTCAGGCTGGCTGGATGTCAGGTTTTGCATACGTGAAAATACACAGCAGTCTTTGCCCTGAAAATCTTGCTAGTGATCTCATTAATCAAGACAAACAAAGCGTATTTAGCTATTCCCCCTCTCCGGAGGAAGGCGTTCAGGTACTTAAATATGCATTTGAGTGCCTAACTTCAGACAGTTGTTTCTGGATGTTTTCGCTTTCTCACAGTAGCAGCAGTGACACAGCCCCTCTCTGGGAGGGAAAGATAGGGGAGGCAGAACCAAGGGCTGCTAAAGTAGGTGGGTAACCCCTGGGGCTGGCAGGGACGATTCCCAGCTGGGCCAACTCCAGTCTCCCATTAAAGATGCAGGAGTTTTTCCCTTAGAGCTGGAGTTGTTAAAAAAATCCTGTGCCTGCAGGTAAGGACAGCTGAGCTGCTTCTCTTGAACACGTCTCTCCCTTCCCCATCGTGCTCCCTGCCCACCAGTGCTGGGAACTGGGCAGAGGGAAATTTCTGCCTGGGATTAGCTTGAAACCGCGGAGGAGGAAACAGCAGTTCATTCATTCACTCCAGGCACAAAGCTCCCAGGTGAGAAATGTCTTGCTGAGCCACAACTGGCAGTAATTAAAATTAGCAGAGCCTTGACAAAGTTGAGGGATGCCAGCTTCTGCCCTCAGCATGAGTAAGTGGGAAGCACCAGGTGTAGGACAGGGGGCAAGTGCTACTTTAAAAAATGAGAAACCCTCTTGTAATGAGGGCCAGTAATTAGAGTCAAGATAAGGGTGTCCTTGGGTCAAAGGTCTTATTATGACAGAGGTTGGTGTTGAGAAGCCAACACCAGTGATGAATCCTCATCTCTGATTCTTCTAATCCGTATTTTAAATGATGAACCCATAGGTACCTCCTCTAGAGACAGCTGATGATCTTTACCTTTACTCTGATGTGGTTATGGGCTGTTATGCCAGGGTTTTGTCTGAATTGTGGGGCTGGTTTTAGCAAGACAGGAATACAGTTTGTAAGCACAAGCTTGGTGGTTTTCCTTGCAGGATGATGGAGCTGCAATAGTTTTCAGCTGCTGATCAGAAGCAATGTTTTTTGTTCATTGCGGTTGTTATGGACAAACTAAAACCTGCAGGACACTTGCAGCTGGGATGTTGTAATGTCAGTGCTTGCTTCAAAGGATTAGAGGCACAATAAAAAACCCCAACCCCTTATCACTCCTAAAACTTCAATATGTATTTGGGGGTTATTTTCATTTGGTTCTCTCAGTTATGATAATGTCTTAAATTGGAAGACTGAAAATGATCACTTGTCAAGCATTGGTAGAGCCACACATATGTTGCAAGCAGAAGCAGGTATGTTAATGGAGGACTAAAAAATTGCATGTGAGACACAGAAAGGCGAAGCTGGTCTGGGGAAGGCAGAGCTCCCCTGAGGGCCACAGAGCACATACCCCAGAGACCGACCAGGGAGCTGTTGGTGCCGGGCTTGTCGACACGGAGATGGGTGCAGGGGTGTGTGTGCTGTAGCTGCCGGGCCCTGCGAGCACCCTTGGGTGGCCATAAGCTTAGCTTCTGGGGGCAAGCTTTAATTACTACAGCCGGATGAAACGGTTTGTGATGACTTGTAGGAGGTGTTGACAAAGAACCCATGAAAAGGGCTGAAGCAAGTACTAAGCAGCACCAGGCTCTCCCCCTGCCCTGGAAGGATCCGTGCTCGGCTGCAGGGAGATGCGGCTGTACCCGTTCCTCTCGCAGCGCCTGCCTGGCTCTGCCTGCCTGCTCTGAGGCAGCTTCCCAGCCTTGTACGATTTTTCACTTTAACAACAAAGCCACCCCCAGACTCAGCCTAGTTTTTCCATCATCCATTTGATTGAATCCTTTTAGTGAGTGACAAAACACTTTCTTGAGCTCTCTTTACAGGAAACCAATCTCTATTCCTTTTTCAAAACCTCCCTCATTTACAGGAGTCTAACAAATCCTGGGCCTTTTAAGTCCTCTCCTGTTTTGATTTTTTTTTCCCCCAAAACAACAGTGCCATGTTTGTAGATCTTTTTTTTTTTTTGGGGGGGGGGGGAGAGAATAAACCACACAATACAGAGAGGAGCAGGGTGTACACACTGATGCACGCCGCGCATCCCCATACAGACAAAAACCACGCGCGTGCACATCGAGATGCAAATGATTTCCGTGAAGCTATCACTTGTAAAGCTTGACAGAAAATAATGAGAAACACTAAATCTTTTATAAGGTCAACACTCAAGCAGCTGTCAAACAAGAAAAGAATTTAGCGAAAGATCCGCAAAAACTTCCATCGCCTCATTAAATCCAACAGGGCCGGGGCCCGGCGTGGTGAGGAGGCACCGGGGCGCCTCCGTTTTGTGTCAGTAATTTGCGGCGGAGGAAGAGGGAAGACGAAACAGCCAGCGCCGAAGGGGCCTTGGGGGAGGCTGGGGAATCGTTAGTGCGCCAGGAGCGGCCTCGGCTCCTAATTGGAAGCATTGGGCATTATCAACGGAGGATTTGCCTCGGCTCCCTGACAGCTCTCTAGGCCTGGAATGATAGCCCACTTGTCAGTGTAAAAGACCATTAAAAACAAACCATTTTGATTTAATTGGAGGCGGTGTGCTGGGGGCCCAGGTGAGGCGCTTCATCAGCTGATGTTGGCTGCTGATGCCTTTTTCCCCCTGTATTGATGGCTTTTTTTTTTCCTCCCCTCCCTTTCAAAAACTGTCTAGGAAAGAGAAAGAGGTGCTGAAAGATCCTTCACAGCTGCACTGAGAGCAGCTTTCAATAGGGTTGTCAACAAATGCCATGACAAGTTAGAGGCAGGTACTTTTAAAACAGACGTTATTCTGTCCAAGATGAGCTGCACTCGGAGGTGTGTGTTGGATTATTAGGGTTACAAATACTGTGGCTTTTCCTGGCAGCAGCGTGCTTAACTGATTTAATGAATGGGCTTAATTTTTCTCTCCCCACCTTTCTAATTCTAAGAACATAGGGAAATGCAGGACAAGGGAGTCTGGACTAAATGAGCCTTACTTGCTTCAAACCCAGGAAGGTTTTGAAAAGTGCTCAGCAATTTTTGGCTGCTGTATTTAATGCCCCATGGAGATTTGGGATTTTTTTTTTTCTTCCTGAAAATAAGGGCCACAAATGTTTGCTGGAGTTCACTGGTCACTTGGTCTGGGCAATAGTGTGAGCAAAGGAGAATTAACCCGCTGGGGCTGTAACCTAGCGTGTGCCCCCTTGGCAGACGTCCTGGGGTTAGACCAGAGCTGGCAGCTTTCACACCAACATCACGTGTTTGAGAGTTGAATCCTGACCCTTTTTGTGCCGGGCAAGAGTTTTTTACAAACTAAGCTGTCTTTAGGTAAATGGCATCTCTGCAGAAGGCAGAATAGGTCTGTGAATGACACCACGAGTCCATTTAAAAAGCACTTCTGTGGACTTGTGTGTGAAACAGCAGGTTTCACTGAAAGCAATGGTAGGTGCTCACCTGTAATCCAACAAAGTGTGTGTGGTTTTACTCTACTGCGAGCCGTGAGGCTGCAGGCACCCCAAAGCTGTTCCTTGACGGGTGAATTTCTCCATAACAGCAATGGGCATTGGCTGCCAGCTGCTGCTTGTGCTGCCCTTGGACACTGGGGCTTGGATGTAGGTGGAGCCTGCCCTGGAGATGATTCAGGCTGTGAGGCTGCACAGGGAGGGGTGGTGTTTCCTTGTGTCAGTCAGGAGATGTTGTAGAGCAAGGAAAATGGCAGAGGAATGATGGGTTACCATGTCTGAGGGAGACAGGAGCATGGCAGAGGGCAGCATGAGGGTGCGATGGAGAAGTTGAGTGTTCAGGGCACCTGCAAATGGATATTGGGAAAGGCTGGACTGTGGAAATGCTTTGCTGTGACTTGAGCAATTGCACTGCTGGAACCTTCAGCTACTAGGCAAAACAAGAAAACCTGCGGAATCTGCTAGAAAATGTCGTGATGGTGACTGAGGCCCAGAGCCTGCAGATAGTCACAGAACAGCTGTGGTGTGGGAGGTGACATCTCTGCTCTGGTCCCAGTGGAGATGAGCAGGGATCATGCTCAGGGTATCTGGGTCTCTGCTGCCCGTTTGGAAGCCTGGGGGCTGTTATATTTCCTCTTTGCATCGTGACCATTGTGGGCAGGTCACCACTGAAGGCCAGCGATGCCGCTTTGGGTTGTCACTGCAGGCTGGGACCCACCAATTCGTGTCACTTGGGCCATTGAAGAGCTGTCAGGTGACAGTGATTTTTTTAAATTTTTTTTTGGTCAGCCAAGATCCCAGCTGAAGGGAGATTTGATCTGGTACCATGGTGACAGAAAGCTCTTGAACTCGTTGCTTTATTCTTTAAGCACAACTTGGGCCCCAGGAGACAAGTTTTATAGAGCTCCAGCTCCATGAAGTTTTGCTGCCCTCAAACCCGGGAAGATAAATGCTGTATCTGAAAAGCCAGCCCACCGTGTGCTGTGCATATCAAACCTGGGTTATTTAAGCAGATTCTATGGCTTTTCTGACAACAGTTGTGAGATTACATGAGCTGTGCTTGTCAGTTCAGCTCTTTAGACAAAAATAGAGGTAAGGCATTAAAAAAAAATGTGGAACATTTTTGTGTGTATGCGCTAAACCTCAACTGTTAATTCTGATGAAGGATCAGGCTGTGAGCAGATATCGGATCCCTGGTGAGAATCAAATTCTGGAGCCCAGAATTTTGCTGCAAAGTTTATACAGTGGGGATTCCTCTAATTACTTTCAGTGGAAATTTACCTGACAGAGCTTTCCCAGGTAACGCAAGGCATATGCGGGAGAGCCGCTCAGCCGTTGACAGAGCCTTTGATTTTGTGCCAGGTTGCAAATTAAGTCTTTTGCCAAGGTACCCGAACACTTGCTCGTCAATTGCTTATCGCTTATTCATATCGCGCATCGAGTGCAGCTCGTTTCATCTGCTTGGGAAGGCAGAGCATGTTGACAAAAGTGTTGTCCAAAGTTGCTGCATTTTCTTTCCTCCTCCCGTTTGGTCAAGTAAACAAGACTACTCTCCCTGGAAAGCCACCCTGAACGTCTGTGCAAGCTGGAATTCTCTAATGAGCAAAGGAAAAACCCTGGTGTGTGTCAGTGACACGTGGTGCACGGAGCTATTTTGATACCTGGGTGAATTCTGTCCTACATCACTGCGGCAGGAGGTGTCTCTACCCTGAATCCTTCTGGATTGACTTGACAGAGCCCTGGAAATCTATTCTGGAGTGGCCAGTGTTGACTTACTGGTTTGGGTTGTGACCATCAAATATTCAGCTGGGGGTAGCTGGAGCCTCACCCTGGGCTGGCACAGGCAAGGCTGTGGGGATGCTGCGTTTTGGCAGCAACATCCTTTCCAGAGATTGGTTGACACCAGGGATGCCATTCTGCCTGGGCCAGCATGATGCTGAGCAAGGAGTGACATAGGGACAGGACGTATCCCGTGAACATAGTGGGGCAGGAGTGTTTAGTTCTGTCCATACAGGGTGTCTGAGGTAGAGTCCCCAGGGAATGTAGTCCCCCATCTACAGATAAATGAAGTCTTGGGGCACAGTCCCAGCTGTGTTGGCAAAACCTGAGCCCGGGAGCCCTGTCACTGCATGCAGAGCCAGGCAAAGGCTGTTTCCCTGGGGGGGTGACTGAGGAAGAGAAGGGCAGTAGAAGTATCTTGCTGAGGTAAGGAGTTATCTTCTGTTTGGTTTTGTAAAAAATAAATAAAAATACTCCAATTCAGCAACTTTCCGTAACGGACTGCCCGTCAGGATGTGACTGGCTCCCTGCGACCTGTTTGTCTCAGCGAGCTGGAGGGCCCAGGAGACCACACGCCAGGTCGGTCCTCCAGAGCGAGATGTGGAGCAGGATCACCCGGTGTGGGAGAGCCTGTAAATCACCCGGCTAGCTTAACAGTATGGGCCAATATTCTAAAGCAGTGGGGCTGAAACCTAAATCCAAATGAAAATATAGTCAATTTGTCTATACTTTGCTGACTGAATGACTATGTAATGCCATGCAGCCCTGGCAATGCAGAGGCAATTAGCGGGGAGGGCAAAGCTCCTTTGTTTTCTTCTCTTCGACTTCCTCTGCAAGCTCTAGCATGGTGCCAGGAGATAGTCCTGCAGGGACTGAACGGAAAGCCCAGTTTAAGAGCCAGTAGTGACATCCATGCCCAGTTTCTGCAGCTTTCTGTAAGGGGTCAGGATGGGAATAGAAAAATCCTCCTTGTTGATTTTTATGGGTCTAAAGGAACAAAATCTCACCTTCCTGCTGCCCCCTGCTTCGGGTGACAGCCATCTCAGTAGCTGGGTGCTCTGCATTGCTCCCCCCAGGCCCAGAGCAGGCCAGACTGAAAGGCGTCATGCTAGATGACAGGGGATGACTGAGTGACAAGAAGGATGAGTGGCTTCAGGACATGTCACACCCCTGCACCAGCCTCAGGTCACATGGAAAAATAGTCCGAAGTGGGGCTGTGGTCAGGGCAATGGAGTCTGAATATTCTTGCCCAGAGTTTGAAGTTGTTTCCAGGTCATGAGCACCTTCTGTAATGGCCAGAGCAGGACAATGTCACTGAAGGCTGTTAGGAAATAATGTGCGGATGGGAGACTGCTCACAAGCTTTCTGCAAAGTCATTTTTTGTGGTTGCTTTTCATACTGCTTTATCTGCAGCAGGATGAGGGTGTTACATGGATTAAAGACAAGGTTTTAGTAAACTGCCTGCAGTGGTCAGCGCTAACAGCTGGCCTCCCTGGGCCACTGAGTCTTAAAAGCTATAAAGCAGTTGTCTACCACCCTGGAAGAGCTTGAGAAAGGTTTCATGAGGACAGAAACGCTGCAAGGACAAGCTCCCTCACCTCCTTGGAGCACTGCTCTCTATTGTCACTCTTGTAAAGGAAGGATTGATAGTGACTCCTGGAGTCCCTGGGTTTGGTTGAAGGGTTAGGCCAGTTTGTCTTTCAAGACCATTCCACCACCACCTATCTAGAACCCAGCTTTACAGAGATAGTTAAAGCACAGTTTGGAGGCTACCAAGTGTCTTTGGGAACCATCAGCTTTCTCTGGGCTGTTACTGCTTTTCACTGGGTAAACAATCACGGATGTTCAAGAGAACTTATTTTTCCATGGAGGAAAGCATGTACTGAAAAGCAATGAATTTCCTGATCGAAGTTCTAACATGAGCTGTGCCTGTTTGATCTGCAGCTGGGGAAGGGCAAACCTTCCAGGTTAATGTAATGAGAAGGAGGAGTAAAGAAAATCTGCAGAGGCTGTGCAAAATGAGCTGTCCTTCCTCCCCTGGATGATGCTCCTGGGAAGGAAGGGAAGAGGAGAGGAAGGAGAAAGGCAGAGAGAAGAAAAGACTCAGAGGTTTGAGCTGTGGCTGGGGGAGGAACCCAAACACAGTCATGGATGAAACAAAAGGGAAAGCATGAAGAAAAACACAGGCTGAAAAATGAATAGTGACGGAAAGGTCTGGGGTGAGAGGAGCTCTAAAGAGGAGGCTTGCCCCAGTATCTCGTGTGACTTACACAATCTGTTTAACAGCGATCGGTCATGTTCTTTCCCTGACACTAGCCGCAGCAGCAGCTCTGTGCTGACAGGCAGCGGGGATAAATGATTACTGACATATGCTAATCGGACAGTCTTAGACAGGACATAAGAGGAATACATCAAGGTGGTGCAAAACACATTTCTTGGTCGAAACTCTCCAACTTGTACAAGTAAATTAGCTTCAGGAAGTTACAAGGCTTCTTCGCTGGTTTAAACTGCAGTTAAAAATCAACAGCATGGCAAAAACCCCACAACCCACTAGAACAAGGGCTGGGGCAGAGGGCTGAGAAGGCTCTTTGCAGCGGTATCTATCAATACCAGATATGATTTTGGCCATGTGAACTCCCTGAAGGGTTTCAGTTCTTTCAGACTTTCTGGTGTCTCCTTTCCATTCCGCTTGCCCAGCTCTTTTCCCTTCCTTCCTAAAACACCTCCTAGCTCTTCACTTGAAGTTTCCCTGTAATTTACACCACAAACAAAGCTAACAGAGTTCAAACCCCAGAGCACAGCTGGACGCGCAGATGAATTCAGGAAGATGTTTAGATCCCATTGCTAGAACAAGAAATCTTCACCTTGGCTCTTATTTGGATCAATTAAAGGAAGTGTCACGCATATCTGTAGCCTGGCTAGACCCTTTGCTCAGTCTCAGGGTGAATATTGTCAATCAGGTAGTTTAGAGAGGTATCAAGAGTGTAGGCTTTCTGGAAAGCTCTCATTCTTGGGGTGAAAATGCTTCTTGAAACGTCTGGTATGGTTTGAATCAGTTATGGTGAGAGGTGACAAAATGGCAGGCTACCAAAATGCAGGTTGGACTGTCCTGCTTGTGTAGGGTGGTTGTGGGAAGACCAGCAGAGAACAAAGGCCACCCCAGTACTAACAGGGAGATACAAAAAGATGCTTCTCATCTTGTGAAGCTCATGGAAGTGCACACAAGCTAGAAAACAAAGCATTAAGCCCTTATCTGGGCAACTGCTGCCTCTCTTCCAGGGCTCGCAGCTCAAAAAATATCCCACCCTGAAGTCCGAAAGGGGCTGGTGTTTGAACACATCCAGTGCAGGACCATTTTAGAGTCTGGGTCTCGGGTGGCTCTGAGGTAAAAGCCTCATGTTTACCTTCATTGTGTGCTAAGGGTGTTATCAGGGCATGTGGGCAAGGTTAGAAGGTGTCACCGGGTTCAACCAAGTGCTCCATACCTTCTCCAAGTGGGGCAGGTGCCAGAAGGACTCCTCCTTTGCAGGTAGTGGGTGTTTTCGCAGAAACGTGGTGCGAGTTTCACGCGCTTTGTATTTCTGTAACCAAAGGTAAACAAGAATGGGCTGAAATGGCCCCACAGCTGTATACAGCGGGTTAGTGTCACGCAATGCGGTGACACTGTGATGAACAAGACCAACAGCCACTTTGGACTGATGATCACAAGTGCCTGATCTGGGTAGTTTTTCATGTCTGTGCAGCTAATACTGATATCTAAAACATACTGATGAGAAAAACATGAGCAGCTGCCAGCTCTCAGAGCGTCTGCTTCATATGGCACCCCAGTGAGATGACCACTGCCTGCAGGAAGCCCTGTGCTCTGATATCGAGCAAGGGCTGATCGCTAGCTGGGAAAGAGCCTTCCACCACCCCCACCATGGTGGGGGGTTCCTGGCGCTCTGGTGTGTGTTGCTTTCCTGATTTATTGCAGATTGTGGTGCTTGATAGTCCCAGCACAAGCCAGTGCGTGTTTCTGGTGAATGTCCTGGCCACTCTGAAACCCTGGGGAATCTGCTCTCTGGTCTAGGATGTAGGTTTGTGTTGCTTAACTCGGTAATTGGTGGCAGCAGGCTTCGGGAACTTGATGGAGGGAACTTAGCGATTAAAAACATCAGTCATTAATAGATAAGGTAGGGATGCACTTTACAACATCCTAGGCTTGTGTATTCATAAAGTAGCTGCTAATTAAGAACACTGTGTTCTTGCACTTCAACTATAAAGTATAGTTTGTGATGGCAGTAAGCCCATTGAAATTGGTCATTACCATATTAACTCGACTCTTCTTTGAGCCATTAACTAATAAAACAGTCATTGGCTGCTTTTAAATGTTATTACAATATTGGTGTGTTTAACAGCACAGCGTTGCACTCCCACAACTGATGCGGGTGCTGGCATCTACCACACTGTGTCAGGATCAGGGCTGGTGCTGGCCCTTTGAACATTTGTTGGCTGTTCCATTGTCGTTTTGCCCACTGTCACAGGTAACCTGAGCAGAGCTGATGCTGTCCCAAAGACAGTCTGCAGGGCTTTCTGGCATGGGGATGGTATAAATACAAAAGATCATTTGAAACTTAATTCTTTGTTACAGCAGGGTGTTTTACTATTGTGGTGCTGCAAAAAGAATCAGAGCCTCCGTTTTAATTGATACCAGGAGTTTAGTGGGGCAACCTGTGACTAGAAGCATGTCGATGCAGGGAGATGCTCGATGATAGCTAGAAAGGTGTCTCTGCGGGACAGGGGTCTCCGCATTCAAAAGGCCTCAGCCAAATCACTGCTGCCCTGGAGAGCTTGCTCAGCTCCTGTGTATATCTTCAGATACAAAACTGCTTAAAAAACCCACCTTCCCTTTCATCTCTAGAACACTTATGCAAATTACAATGTGTGTGCATGAATCTGGTGTCCACTCCCACAGCATCACCCTGCAGGACATGCTTTGGCTGAAGCCAGGCCCGTCTTGGCAGGGAAGCAGCTCATCTTTGTTAGACTTCACCAGCCTTCTAGCAGTCAGGGAGGACGTTTTCCCAGCTGAGAGCCTTCCTCATGGCTGGGAGAAGTCCATCCATTGTGGGGTTGGATGGCGAGGGGTTATGCCTGGTAGCAGTGCAGCGAAAGCACTGCTGAAGTATTATCACCTTTTTCTTTTCTGCTCGCTGGGCTGCTGTCAGGGCTCTCTGCTCCTCCATCCACAGCTCCTTGTATTTGTGTTGGAGGAGGTCAAAAAAGGGAGTGCAAGGCCTGGAAAACATTGAAAAAACAACAATATAAATCTCCAGGGTTAATACCTCTCTTTACCTCCCTATACTGATACATATCTCTGCTCCTGGAAAGTGTGCCTGGTGAGAACAAGAACAAGCCCTCACACTGGGAAAGGCTTTCTCTTCCTCAAGAAAGAGCCAAACCCACATCCATTTGCAGTGAATACACCACAGCCTGCACACACTTGTGATAACCTGCAGCAGGACTGTGCCAGGGCTTTCCCCAGAACAGGTACAATTCCTCTCTTTGCACACCCTTTTATAGGGCCCGTATCACCACCTCTGTTCAGGCCCCGGTGTGCTGGAAGGACCATGGAGCATCACAGACTGCAGCTCAACTCTGGGCCCTGCAATGGCTCCAGGAGAGTGTGGTACTGGATGGTGGGTAGTGAAAGTGCTGAACGGGGCAGCATCCAGAAGCAGAGAGCTGCGGTTGTGCATTGCCACGCTGGAGCTCAGAGGAGCAGCTCTGGCTGTGTCCCCTCCAGACTGACAGAGCTGCCTGGGAAGAACCACTGTGTGCAAAGTGTGTTTTGCTAAAATAACACTGCTTTTGCTGTTGAAACATCACTACTGCGGTATTCCAAAAAGCTGCAAACTTATGCAATGATGGGTTGGGCGAGAGGAGTTAAGTGCTGTCCTAAGCAACTGCAACAGGCATAAAAATGGCCTCAGTGCAGATGGTCAGGTGTCTGCAGCAGAAAGGGGAGCTGAGATAATCAGCCCTGATCTAGTCCCTCACTGCCCCTTGAAACAGGGTACCAGAGAGCATCCTGGCCAGGAGAAGACAGCAGCAGAGAGGAGCTGCAGATGACCGTGCTTCTAGCAAAACAGTAGAAATAAAAGGCAGTTGGGTGTTGTGCTGTGTCCCCTTCAGCTGCCTTGAGCTGGCATTAAACAGACCAGCTTGTGGCAGAGCTGCAGCCTGAAATTGTTGAGCCTTGCTCCTTGCAAGTGAGGATGCTTTAACTTCATCAGCCAGCACGGGAGGCAGAACTGGCAGTGGCAGCAGCAGGGTTCTTGCCTTGAGGACAGCATATCACTTATTGCTGTGGCCCTGCTGCTATTCTTTTCCCCCAGAAGCAAACACTTGAAGGTGATGGAGGGCCTCGACCTCAAGTTTTATTGGTCCTTGTCCTTGCACACCTTGCTGGGGAGGAACTTTTCCCATCTCAGCAGCAACCAACAACTGTGGAGCCGTCAGCCCCAGCTCTGCTCCCACCTGTAGCCCGCAGTGCCTTCAGCTGCAGCTCCCGTAACAAAGGCAGTGCTTTGCCTGCCTGTGGACCTCCTGTAAGACACTGGGGACTTGGGCTAACTGTTGGGCTGCTTCTGGGCCACCAGCTCCACCAGAAGGTTGTTTTTTTTTTTGCAGACAGCCCATGTGCCACAGAGAGCTGGTGCTTCGTGGCTTTTGGCAGGAGTGGGTCCAAAATTGGTAGCAGCCAGCTTTTAGCAGTCTGGAGAATCTTGGAGGGCGCCAGCAGCGTGTATGCAAATAGTAACTCTTCTGTTTCTTGTTCCTTCACCCCTGTGGTGACTTTTATTACTTAATTATTGCACACCACATGCTTCAAAACAGCCTAATCTACGGTCGTGTTTTCTAATGATACTAGATGTGCAATCCAGCAATATACATCCCAAGGGGGCATTCATATCAGAGGAGACATCCTTCTGCAGACCTCCCGTTTCATAGATCACATGCTGCAGGGCTTTTCAAGGCTTTGCTTACAAATCAGCTGTGCTGCTCCAGACCGTTATCTGGAGACACCCAGTGCCAAAGGCGACACCGACATTTACCCTTTGTTGTCCCCTCTTCTTTCCTCTCCTTCCCTCCTAGTTTGGCATTTCACACTGATCAGAGCCGGGCAAAATATTTACAATATTTACTGTGGTCAAGTGTCGTATTGTCCAGGTGTGTTTCCAGTCTCATGGAGTAAATTTTGGTATTCCTGGCACAAGCACATGGTGAGCCTTGTGCATGGGCTTGTTTCCTTGGCCTGTCCCTTTGCTCTCAAGGCAGGAGGTTTCCTGGTGTGCAGGAATAGCAGGAAGGGACACAGGAAAACATCGAGATTTTGTGTGTAGTGTTTGATTATTGATTTTTGTGGTAGCTGAATGTGTTTTCACATCTCTATGGAGGTGACTTTTACCATCTCCAGTGGACCAGCCAGTTGGTGACTGATTAGTCCACAGCTGGCTTGTAAGTAAATGCTTGAAAGGACACATTTGGGTTGATGCTCTTCAGAGATCCTTCCCCGCCGTGTGATTAATCGCACCTAAGTCCTGATCCAGCAAAGTATAGAATCATGCCTGGAATGGTACACGCATGAACTGCCTCTTTGAAATCGGTGGGAATGACTCGTGTGCTTAGTTATACACATACGCTCTGGCGGGGCTGTAGACATGAGGCTTTGTCTGGCTTTTCCTGCCTCCTTTGAGAGAAATACTGAGAAAATGAGGAAGAGCAGGGGATGTCAGGTAACGCACTTTGACTAAGGTTACTGGAGACATTTCAGCGAGGTGGCTTTTTCTTTGTAGGTCAACTGCTGATCTCATCGGAGTGGATGGGGAATTTTGGCCCCGATATCGGTGCTGCTTGGCAGTGTGACAGTAGTTCTCCTTTGCAGCTGGCCTTTGGGAAAATGTCCTCTTGCTTTAGTGTTACTTAAGGATAGGAATGAATGGCTTGTGTGTTCTTTTTCCTTTTGTCACCCTGCCCAGATGTCACTCCTCTAAACTGGGAGGATTTTTGCTGTTACTGCCTGCAAATGCTGTGAGGAGAATGGGGGAAGCATCTGCTGAAAATGCTTATTGTGGATTAAAATCCATCTCGTTCAGAGTAACTCAGATCTCCTTGTTTTGGCACAAGCACCCTGCCACAGACAAGAAAGGGAAAGAAGTTCTGATAGGGTGTACCAAATTATTTATAATTGTGGAAAAAAATAATCAGCTGCTTCCTTTTATAGTCAAATAGTTGGAGTCACTTCTAATGTTGACATTTCCTAAATATTTTAAAATTTATCTGTGCACATTTTCAAAACTATTATCCCTGAAACAGTTCCTGTCTCTTTAATAGACTCTCTCTCTAATTTACTTTCAAGAGTCAGGGTACAGACCTATTTTCAACTGAAATGACAAGCGCCTGCTAACTTGGTTATACCATGTGGTATGCTAGTCTGCCAGAAATCTTCTGGAAAAGATGCTGCAGCCTCCTAATAGGCTATTTTACTGTGAAAACAATGTTAAAAAGTATAATAAAGTATTAACAATATTAAAATAAAACAGTGTAGGCCTTAAATGAGCTACAAACTAGTTAAATCTATTCTATTCAATATGAGCCTTCAGTGCTTTGCAGCTGATACCTCAGAGCTGGGATTTATCTAAAATGAAGGCACCAGGGACATGCAAGAGAAATGGTAATTATAATTTGCAAACATTAGGCTGACACTTTTTTGTGTTTGTGTGTATAAATTCTGACAGCTGTGATTTGTGCCATGCCAAAAAGTGCTCCACCGAGCTGGGAAGGGCTCCCTTTCTGGCAGGCCATCCTCAGAGCAGCAGCTCATTAAAACTTTGGAGAAGGAGAAGTTGCCGAAAACAGGAAGGCATCAGAACCATCTGAGGGACTTTTGGTACACGCTTGTTGAAAGGTGTTTGAGAAGGGAGCCTTGGGTCTGACAAACTGGAATTTTAGTACGCCTCTCCGTTCACAGTGGGGCAAAATAATTGGTCATCAGTGACTACTAATTTGGTTTAGTAGCCAGAGGCAGTTTTTTTCTTCCCAGAAAATCAATGACAGTGCCGAGGTCTGTTCAATCTGATTCAGCTCAAGACGGGTCCTCATTTAGCGCTTGATGCTTCTTCCACCGGAGACAGCTATTTTGTTAAAATGAAATTAAAATCTACCTATAATACTCGGCTCAGGGAGCGGCACCCGTCAATGCCATGCTGCTCTCGAGGTTTCAAGGTTGTCAGTCTCCCCTCAAACTTATTTTCAAAGGTTTGTATATCAACTGGAAAAAAAGGTACTTGGCAAAAGTGGATATAAAGGACTTTGCTCAGGAAGGGGGTTTATACCAGCTTAAAAGGTGCAATCAATTTGATTGCTAAGTTGTGCTGTAAAAGGGTAAAAACTTGTGATGATCTTTTTCTCATGATTGCCTTTTTTTTTTTTTTAATTTTCTGGGTAGCTCTCCAGCCAGCGCAGACGGCTCCTGCAGCACTCCTCCCGCTGCTGGTCAGGATGGGCTCCAGGGGGGAGCTGGGTGAGGGAGCAGAGGACACTTGCACAGGCACCGGCTCCCCAGCGGTTGTGCAGCTGTTTGGGCTGCGCCGCAAACACGGCTCTAATTTCAAAGGCAGCAGGATCTGGCCCTGCACGGGTGCTTATGCAACAGATAAATCATATAATTGATTTTTTTTTTTACAGTTGTGATATTAAAACTGTGTTGCAACACCACTGCCTGTCCTGAAACTTTAACCCTTTCTTGAAAGGTTGATGAGGTTTCAGGGGGGTTTAGTCCTTGCTGGTGTTCCTCCATCTAAGATGATGTGCTTTTGCTGCACAGCCAGGATCTGTCTTTGGGGTCTTCAATCCACAGGGGGCACCACCTTAGTACTCCTTTCTTATGTACTTCACGATGGGAAGGATTTGCCCTGTGGTAGTAGTGTCCGTATAGATATCTTCCCCTAGCTCGTGGCTGGGTCAGCTGAACTGGCTCCCACCAGCTCAGGTTGGTTTCTTCTTGGGAACCCATTTGATGTCCAGCATCTCTGGAGCACAGGGCTCCTCGGTGCAGCCAGTACGGACTATCTTCAGCAAATAATACACGAGCTGGGGTCTGTGATTCTGCTCAGGACCTTGGGGTACCCACGGGTGCAGGCAGCAGTAAGGCACTAATGCTCAGGTCCCTCTGCCCTGAAAGGGGGCTGATAACACAGGAAAATTCTGATTACACTTCCCTTGTACTGCTATAT